ATTTGAATGAAGCTGGGCCCCTAAGCCCTGGGCAGAGTTCCTGGACATACTCCTAGGACTGGAAGACGTTAGAATGCCCAGATAAATCGTTGAATAGTGTTTTAAAGGAGTGGGGGGTAGACGGGGATGGTGGTGGAGAAGGACAGTGACAGAGGATTTATTCCACTCCCCTCATTCGAACTTTCAGGGTTCCAGGTTTCTTAATATTAAGAAATCCATGCTTGTAGTGGCTACGATTGCTCCTACTGTGAATAATGTCTTCTCATTTTGATTATTGTATAGACTGACACCTGGATGTCATATTTTGAACATAATAAATATTATAGTGATATTTGAAAATATTGTGTCAAATCTCCTAACAAACTCTAAGGACTTCCCAAATTACTACCTTTGAACTCAAGGTTCTTAGGTAGTAACTGGAGGGAGTTGTATCTTAGAAAACGGATTTTCCTCTGGGAGTTAAATAATAAACCAGCTCAGAGATGTACCAAGTAGCCAGAAGAGACAGTCTGTGCGCTAATTGAAGGTGTTGACATTATTAGAGGAAAGTGTGCCCATCAGAAGGTAGGGATGGTGACACAAAGACCAGGCAGGGTCTCAAAGGCAGACATGGTCCATCTAAGCACCACATGCAGCAGACAGCACCCTGGAGGACTCCTGCTGTATCAAGAATGAAAACTCCACCTGTTGGAACCTGGAGATGGGCCTATCCCAAGACGCAGAAAAAGCCATCACACAAAGCCAGTCCCTAGCTCCCTGAGATCTGATTCCAGGCTCATTAGGTATCCTGATAATGGAGATTCCTGACCAAAAGATGCAAGTGTTTATGCCTCTCTGGTAGTAAGTTGTTCTCATGTAAATCATCTCTGATCTTGTTCCATATGACATTGCCTCTGGAAGATGGAGCTTTTATGTCCCTTTTATGCCAAAGAAGACTTGCAATGATAATAAATACCACCTAGTGGAAATGCAGATTACAAGCTGGTCACCTGCAGAAGGTACCTGCCCTCCCTTATCAAGTGCTCCAGGTGCATGCTTGTGTTCCCTTTCACTTCACTGCTCCAGCAAAAATATTACTCTTTTGGCTTCTAGTGATTCCAAACCCTACATGCGTATGAAATTCACTTGAACTTTAAAAAAAATCTAATACTCAAGAGCACCCTCCCAGGTCAACTAAATGAGGGAATCTCTGGTCATTGGCTAGCTAGCCCTCTGGGTGATTCTAAGATGTTCCCAGGGTTGAGAAGCATTGCATTGGTTATTTTATTTATTTTTTTTATCCTCACCAGAGGACATTTTTTTCCATTTTTTGTTCAGGTAGAGTGGGAGGGAGAGAGAGGAACAGAGAGAGAGAGAGAAACATCGATGTGAAAGGAACACATCGAGTGGCTGCCACCCGCACAACCGACCAGGGCCGGGGACAAACTGCAACCGAGGTACATGCCCTTAGCGGGAACCGAACCCGGGTCTCTCAGGACCACAGGCCGACGCTCTAACCGCTGAGCCAAACCGGCCAGGGCTGCATTGGTTATTGATAGGAAAGAACATGTTCTGGTAGTGTGAGAGGGAGAAGTTCCCCAATATAATTTTTAAAAACATTTAATGAGCATTTTACAGATGAGGAGACTCAGAGACATGAAGCAGCTCGCTCAAGCCTGAATAACTAACAGGCAATGGGGCCAGGGTTTGAACTTATAATTATTTCTTCTATAAAATATCAAGTTCTTTCCCAATGATAATTGGGAGAATGCAGAGCAAGAGGCAGGAAGTCTATAGATTCAGGGGAAGGGAGAAGAGAGGAGAGAGGAAGCAGAAGGGGCCTTCAGAAGACTGTCTGGAAAAAGGGAAACATTGGCAGACTGACCTCCAGTCGCTGTCTCCGAAGTGTGTGCAGAGGACTCACTGGGGCATGGCGGGAAAATGATAGACTTTATTTAGTTTTTAGCTCTTATTTTTTGCACGTTTTACAAAGCACAGGATACACTGATATGGTAATATATGTATATAATTTATAAAAATAAATAAACATACATGCTCAAAACATGTTTTACTGGTAGGGACACAGTCAGAAAAAACCTGGAGTTCCTATTTAGAGAAAATCTCAACCGAGTGTTGATACAATTGAATCTGCCCGGGCCCCTGCCGTGCTCAAATCTTGGCTGGAGGCACTGCAAAGGCACGGGTTTTCTCAAAACACCCTGCAGGTTTTAGTTAATGGTGTGGCGATGGAACCCTTGGTTAGAATCATTGTTTTAGAGTAGAGATTCTTAAAGTGTGGTCTGGAGAAGTCTGGGGTCCTTGAGACTCTGTCAGGGACTCCACGAAGTAAAAATATGTTCATAACACTAACGTGTTATTTGTGTTTCTTGTTCTCAGTTTCTCCTGTGTGTACAGGGGGGTTTTCCAGAGGCTCCATGACATGGAATGATGTCATCATCCCTCTGGAAGCTAGTGGAATGTTTGCTGTGTGTCCTATATTTTGAATTGTTTTTTTGTTTTGATTACTAAAGTGCTAAATACAAATAGGTATAACACACATAAACAAAAGCTCTCTCGGGCCCTTAGTAATTTTTAAGTGTATAGCGTTCTAGACCAAAAAGCTGTCCTATCCTAGAGGGTACAGAAGAGTCTAGAAGAGTCAAGAAGATAGAGATAATACAGATAAGACAGATGATACAACTGCTGGAGACATGAACGAAGACTTAAGTTGGTTCGAATTGTATGTGTTATGCATTGCATAACATGTTGGAAATTGGACTCCAAAGCCTTTTGCTCTCATACCATCTTTAGAAACACTTTTGAGTCCTGGCCAGTGTGACTCAGTTGGTTGAGCATCATTCCTATATACTGAAAGGTCATCGGGTTGATTCTAGACAAATGGAAGCAATGCCAGTTCTTTTTTTTTTTTTTTTTTTTTATCCTCACCCGAGGACATTTTTCCATTTTGTTCAGGTAGAGTGGGAGGGAGAGAGGGGAACAGAGAGAGAGAGAAACATCGATGTGAAAGGAACACATCGAGTGGCTGCCACCCACACGACCAACCATGGCCGGGGACAAACTGCAACTGAGGTACATGCCCTTAGCGGGAACCGAACCCGGGTCTCTCCAGACCGCAGGCCGACGCTCTAACCGCTGAGCCAAACTGGCCAGGGCGCAATGCCAGTTCTTTCCAAGTTCTATTTTTCAGTCCTCCTATGTCTAGATTATTTGCTTTTTGGAAAGTCATCAATTTCTTTGAGACTCTGAAGAAAGGCATTGATTGGTCCCACTTCATAAACGTGATGTACACACCCCAGCATAAAATTGTGATGTGCTTTATAGGGTCCCTAACTCCCAGTCCAACCAGGACTCCAGATTGGAGCCCTGCCCTAATTAGCTCGAAACCTGCCCTAGTTCCCCGTCTAGGAGCCATTCTTCTGAGTCAGAGTTGATTTGCTAATTATAAGTCACTTCCTATTTTAGAAATCTAGATGACTTATGGTCAAATGCTTATGTCCATCATGCTGACTGAAGAACTGTAATTTTTAACGCTGGGTAAGGAAGGAAGGAAGAAAGAAAAAGAAGAGGTCAGTTTGAGGCTTTGTGATTCCTCGGGGTATGCATTCATACAGCTGATACGAATGGGATGCAGTGGCACCCAAAGTACCACCTGTGAATGATGCTCGCCTAATTGAAGTGGAATCTAGTAAGAAGTGTAGAAAAACACTATAAGAAAGCAATCAGCCAAATCCAGAATGTGGGCTATTCTACAGAACAAATTGCCTACTTGCCCTAACAAATTAATAGCATGAAAATTAAAGGGGAATATTATAGGATAAAAGAGCCTTTAAAAATGGTAGCAACCACAAGTAATAGGATGTTTTGTGGAGTGGACCATCTGAGAGCTTAGAATACACACTTTGTATTGAATGATACTGAAGATAATTTAGCTAGGTATAATAATGGTGGTTATAGAGATAGAACATATCCTTCAGATATGTTCCTTCAGAGATGCACACAGATATACTTGTGGATATGAGGACATAATATCTGGGAATTTCTTTGAAATAATTCAGAAAAAAAAAAAGGAGGGGTGAGAAATGAAACAAATTTGGCAAAATGTTCATAATTGTTGAAACTAGATGATGGATAAATGGAGGTTCATTATACTCTACTTTCTTGTATACTAAAATTTCCCATAAATTAAAAAAAAGAGTATGATTTTTTAAAAGTGTGGTTTAAAATCTGGCTAATAATCAGAATCTCCTGGGGAACTTAAAAGAAAAAAAGAAGAGTCCAGGAGCTTTCCAGTCCTCCTGAATCAGTCCTGTATGGGTACATTTGCCATTTTATAATTTACCAGAACACTGATGCTGCCAGTCCTCATGGCCATCATGGCCATAGGTCACCTCTTCTAAGGTCTGACCCAGGAAATCTACACCAGTCTTCCTTCTTCCCTTCCTTTTTCTCTTTCCTTCCTGTCTCTCTACTCTTCCCTCTTATGTTCTCTTCCTGCACAAAACTTAGGGCAGGAACCTGCAGAGGAGCACAGCCCTAGCATCTCATGGAAATGGGCACTGGGCCTTTTCCACTCCTATCCAGGCCTTGGTGTCCTGCTGCTCAACCTGATGTCTTTCCCTCATAATTATTATTTCTACAAAGTTCTCCTTCTGCCCGTGGGTGAGAGATGTAGCCCCTGCCCAAGTAGACCTTGAAGTAAAGCTTTTTGAGAAGCGTTGTCTTAATATCTGAGCCTTTTTCTTTTATCATTAGTAGATAGAAAACATCAACATTTGTTCTTAAATAATTTATTTTTTAATATCAACTTTTGGGAAAAGTTATAATTATTTAGGAAAAATTTTAATAAACCAAACAGAGTAAACAGAAGTCTACTGAAATAACTAAATGTGCAAATTTCAAATGTTTTCTATAAGAAGTATAAATAATTCTATTTTTTCACATTAAGAATGAGAATAATGATACACAAAATATTAAAATATCAAACTTAAAAGAAACAGGTGAAAACACTGAAGACTATGTAAAATTAGTCCAGATAAAAAAATGGTAACTTTTACATCTGAGGAAAAGTGTGTTTCCTCCCACCCTTTTATCTTCTAGGAAGAAAACAGTGACACAAAGTACAGAGAGAAGCTGCAGGCCGAGGACAGGAAGAAATGTCCTCATTCTCATGGATGTGAGGTCACTGCCCTGCACCCCAGGACAGCACTGATACAGCAAATAAAACCATCACTGAAGGCCACGTGTTAGCCCGTGACCTTCTCCAATCCCATCCCTGCTCCTTCCCAATGTGATCCCTCAGGAGGTAGCACAGTCAGAGACAATTCTGCACTGCGGTTGGGAAGTGGCTCTGGCCCAAGTTTCACGGAGAAGCACGAGATTTTAATAAGTTTACTATTGATGCAATTCCTTCTTTCCTAGGGAAGCAACGAAGGTGCACCAGAGAGGCGGACACCCCTGCTGCAGTCAGGATCTTGTCTGGCTCCACGAGGAGACCCACAGCAAACATGTTATCCCAAGAAGATATGGAGGCATTTCCCCCAGAACAGAAGAAACTTCATTTAAATAACCTTAAAGTTTGCAATAAAATAAATAAAGTAAACTCTAGACACAGGGCCTTTAACAAGGCAGTGGGTTCAGTTCATGAAGGCTGTACATACAGGTGGTGCCCGACAACAACCAGAAAATAGGTTATTATCATTCAGTCTTCTTACTCTAGGGCAGCATTTCAACACAACACAAAAAAACCCCTCATACACAGGGTGCGTTATCTATGTACACATTTTTTTATGCACACCACAGTTCAAGTTAACCTGTTCAGAAGTGAAGACTGTGATAACCGAGAGTTACATGTCTTCCCACTAAAATATTCTGGTTCTTACAAGGTGCATATTGTGAAGAGCAGCTGGTTTGCTTTACAGTACAAACTTCATCTCAGCAGCCTCAGAATCAGTCCATGGGAAAGGAATAAGCAGGCAGGGAAAAACCATGAACCCCTGACACTGACACTGTCTCTTCTCCCTGAGCTTCCCGACCTCACAGAGGCCCGTGGGCCACAGGGCTCAGCTTCTCGCCTCCAAGCAGCGCACTGAAGGCAGGCGGAGTGGCTCTCACCGTTCCTTGTCCCTTTTCTCGAACGGTGATGTCGCAGTCCTGGCACACATCCCACGTCCACGAAGTCCCTGTCTCGGCTCGCAGGCGAGGAGGAGCACCAGGCTGGACCCGACACCACCGCGGCCACTCAGGGCTCGCAGGCCACCGAGGAGCACTCCCCAGTTACCGAATCCAAGGCCGTGACCAACAGCTTCTCTTTCCTCTCCTGCTCAAAGACGCCCTTGAGCCCACCGTCGCAGGGACGGGCCCCGGAGTGTTTCGAGGACAGCACCACGCTGGCTAACGGCTGGGGCTGGCTCACCTGCTTCGCTTTAGCCATACATCTGCTTGAACTGAAAGCACTCGTTACAGTAGCCATTGCACTTGGCATTGCCGAAGTGGTCGCAGGCAGGGGCCCGGCAGCGCTGTTTGGGGGGCTCGTCAGGAAGGGGCTCGCCCCGGCCCACTCTCTGGCCCAGGTGTTGGCACTCCATGCAGAGTTCCTCGCTGCGGCAGGCCAGGATGTTCTTGCAGGAGGCCCGGGCACACTTGGGCCTGGAGGCGCTCTGCGTGGTTCGAGGCACGTCTCTGCGCTGGCTCATTCTCTGAGGGGAGAGAACAGGGAGAACGGTGGTTCACATCTCTCAGGGACAGCGCCGTGTGGTCTCAGAGGACAGTGGATGCTCTGTGGGGGAAGAGCATCTGCCTGAGCAAGGGGGCGTCTGTCTACGAGCAGGAGCTCCCCAGGCACTTGCTTCCCAACCCCACAGAAGCAGACCTGGCCCCAGGGATGCCCATGGAGCCCCCGATCCTGACCCTGTGGCCCGCACACATGGGCCCAGTTCACTTCTGTTTAGATGAATAAGCTGCCATTATTTTAGACAGACTCCTAACGTTCTGTGAACAATGGGAGGAGCATCTATCAGTCAAAGTTTACTTTTCTTCAAAGCCATCCAGGAGGCATCTGCAGGCTCTGCCTCTCCTCCCGTCTCCTCTTGGTTAGGGGTTATTTAAGAAAGTCTGTTGGCCACTTAGACGTTTGTGCTTCTGCCACAGCTCCAAGAAGTCCCTGATTGCCACCTGGCCTTGCAAGGCTTTAAGAGGTTTGATTCTATGGCTAATTTTAATTGCTTTTAAAAATAGATTCTAAGGTGTACTTAGGCCACGTACATGAAAAGCAGCAGCTCCAGCAGGCAGGGCTGGCCCACGGGGGAGGAGGAGAACCTCAAAATGTCTCACCAGTTGCTCTTCAGTCCTTTTTGCTTCATGAAATCTCTGATTTTGAGCCTCAATGAAGCACTTCTGACAGTATCCTTCAAACACGGTGCTCCCGAGGGTGCCGCACTCCCGCCCGAGGCAGGGCACGGCGTTCTGGAACCTGGGGGCCGCGGGCCTGGCTTTTCCCGACGCGGCAACCAAGTCTGCAAGAGAGTCGAGACCAGTCAGCACCATGCATGGGTCACCGAGCAGAGAGAAACAATGACTTGAAATAAACAGGCTCCAAATGTAGATTAGGCCAGCCTTCATTATTTACACGAAGCAGCCTTTCCTCATTCAACAACATTTAAAAAAATGATAAGCTATCACTGAAACGTCTTTGACTTGACAAATCTCTCCCTTTTGAATGGGTCACACTGGTCAGTCACAGTAACAGAACAGAGACTAACGCCCATCCTTCTTTCAAATAAGAATGTTAAAACCACAGATTTTATTTTACAATGTCAGTAGAGTCGTCCCTCTCTCCAGCTGCTGTTCTTCAGATTTGGAGTTTTCTCTATTATACCAAAGTCCCAAGAAAAGTCTAATTTAAACTCTACCTTATAGACACAGTATTGAACAACCTTAGAAATAAATCCCAAGAGCTCTGCCTACAGGACGCATTTGGAACTCGGTATCCCGTGCCTTTGCTTCCATGTGTGGCTGGCAGAGCCAGTGTGACTGTCCCTGTCATTTTACCCCGCTGCTCAGAAGGGCTCCTTTCTTAAAGTTCAAGGACAAACCCCTTCTAGATAGAAGTTTCAAAACAGGGGTTAGAAAATGCATCATTTCACTCACGTTTATTTTCTTTGTACTCGATGAAACACAGCGTGCAAAAGCCCTGGTTTTCGGGAGTCCCAAAATACATGCAACCAGCTTTCCTGCACTTGCTCGTCCCCGTCCTATCCCCTGGAGTCCGCGTGGCCTGAGAAAGGCAGCCAGGGGGGGCCTCGCTCCCAGCTCTGTGGCAGGAGTGTGGGGAGAGACTCTGGATGAGCTGTGCTGGGTCCGACTTAGACCTCTGATGACAGGAAGGAGGGATACTGGAGCTGAGGTCTGAGGACTCTGTCATAGTCCTTTTGAAGCAAGTGCTGCAGATCCCATTAAATGTCCTGGTGACATCCTGGAGGCAGGCTCGGCACTTACCAGGGTCTAAACGCCTCGTGGTGTCCGAGGTGTGGCCCCCGTTAAGTTGCCGGGCATTGTGGCATCGTTCACAAAATCCGTTGTGCTGCACGTTCAGCGTGAACGGGCAGCCGGGGCTCTTGCACTTCATCGCCGTGGTCTCGCTGAACAGGAAAAGGCTGGGTGCCGTCGGAGGGGCCGAGCGAGGCCCCCCAGGTAGCTCCTCAGGGCTCCAGGCCACGGGCTCATAGGCCTCACCCCGAGAGGCTCCCAGCACCACGCCAGGGCCTGGCTTGGAGTTCAGCTTTGGGGATTTGTTTTGGTTCTTTTGCCGCCGCTCTGCACATTCATGGCATAGAGGCTGGGTGTTCACGGACATGAAGAAAGGACAGTTGGGTGTTTCACATTTTACGTCCATGAGAGACAGCTGGGGGACGGAGGGTTCCAAAGCGTGCTGAGCCTGCAGCTCTCTGCGCCCCTGCTCGCTGTTCTCCTGCCACTTCTTGTACTCGTGCTGGACCAGTTCACAGTAGTCATCTACCAGGTTGATTTCCTTCGGCAAGTTAGCTTCATCCAACCTGAGGACGCACAGGAAAAGTATAAGCCTTCACACACACACGATCGTACAGCAACAGTTCACAGAGCAAACTTTCGGAATGTGGATTCTAGGACCCGTGGAGTTTGCACCTCCAACATGGCACAGCCAGTACTTCATGATTTCAAGACTCGCTGTCTTCTTGAATCAATGTTGGCGCACCAGGAATTATGGGTAATTCTGAAGAAAGGGCTCCTCCGGGGCTGCCGCACACTTAACGGCTCTAGTCCTCTTTTTAAAAGTCACATTTCCTTTCTAACTTCTCAGAGATTAAATGTCTAGTAAAAGATTGCTCAGGTGTTCTTTTGGGACTAGACTATTATAGTACCAACTACTTTGGAACTTTGTGTTCTGTACTTTGTTGTTACTAATTTTATTATTTTTTAAATAAAAATGTTTACATTCTTTTTTTCTTTATTGATTTTAGAGACAGAGGAAGGGAGAGAGAATGAGAGAAACAACGATGAGAGAGAACATGGAGTGAACACCTCCTGCATGCCCCCCACTAGGAATTTGGCCCACAACCTGGGCATGTGCCCTGACCAGGAATCGAACCAGTGACCTCTTGGTGCATGGCTCGATGCTCAACCACTGATCCACACCAGCCAGGCTGCTATTATTAATTTTAATCATTTTTTTAATAATACTTATATTATTTTTTACTTTGTTGTTGTTAATCCTCACCCAAGGATATTTTTCCATCTATTTTCAGACAGAGTTTGGAGGGAGAGAGAGAGAAACAGATTGGTTGCCTCCCGCATGAACCTGACCAGGACTGGGGACCAAACAGCAACGGAGGTATGTGCCCTTGACTGGAATCGAACCCATAACTCTTGGGTCCATGGGCCGACGCTCTAACCACTGAGAAAAACTGGCCAGGGCTTCATTTTAAACTGGTGCCTGGTCTCTGTTGGAATTAATGGCTGTGAGCAGTAACCAAGAGGCAGACACACCCCTAGACGTTATTTATTGACTCTGTAATTTGTTACCCTTTACTTTGGGAAACAAATTCTCTTACATCTTTGAAGGTTATTTCTTGTGCATATCACGTTCCAAGAAACAGGCATCTCTTTAACCTAAAGCCAATGTTTAAAACCTGGATACCTGCGCACTGTGCGCTCTGGGTGTCCCCTCCCCTTTCTTGTGGTGAAATCACGTGGCTGCCACAGAAACACATCCTACTACCTAGTCTGTGTCTGGCGTGTCTGTCCTTACCAAGAAGCCAAGAAAAAAAGGCTTCTGTTTCTAAGAATTTTCACTTGCTGGTCTAGTACTAGAGAAATCAAGAAAAACAACTACCATTATGTAAACAAACTTTTAAAAGCCACATTGTGACTCTCAGCATCCAGACACGTAGGAAAATCATGGTGGGTAAATTACTCGTTCTCGTTTGAAACGAAAGTTAGTAATGCCTCAAGTGAGCCTCTCCGACTCCAGCAAGCCTCCACAATGTTTCACGCCGGAGAAAACTGGACTCAAAAGCTCTACTGTTGGGCTTGGGGGTGGCAGCCGCTCATGTGGCTGAATTTAAGATGGTTAAAGAGGACAGAGGATAGAGGTAACAGTAAAATGCTTACTTTGCAGCATTAATCAAGTGGGTGGTGCCATGGTCCCAGCCTTGGACTGGGACTTCTATCACCATCAAGTATTCTTTCAAGAGCTTCTCCTTCATCTCGTTTTCAGGATCTGTCAAAAAGTGAACTTTTAAGTCTTCAAATCTTCCTCGCTCTCTATTAACAAGTGGAACAGCTCGGATTTCTGAGGGGAAAAAAAACACATAAGTCAAATATAATTCTACTCGATGAGTTGTGTGAGGCTGTACACATAACAATTAAAATTTCAAAATGCAGCAAGGATACAATTACAGAGTAGAACACTATTATCTAGCCACAGACTCAAACGGGGACACACACTCCGCTAACTAGAATACAAAATGCATTGTTTCCAGGAAGCTCGGAGTACAAGCTCGGAGGCAGTGGATCCGGTGGTTCAATTCCCACACTTCAGAATCAGACTGACTCGAGTTCAAATCCTGACTGCCACTATCGAGCTCTGTGATATTAGGCAAATTATTCTTCTGCTCTGAGCTTCAAGTGCCTCAACTGTAAAATAAGCCTCCCAATGCTTACAGCCCATAGAGACGCTGCGAGGATGAAATGAAATAAAGTAATATACCTAAAGCACTCACAAAGTCCTACTGCACATTAAGCTGTTATGCTAATAACTAACCTGATAGATATTTACCTGCTGCATGCCAGACATTGCATTAAGGGGTCTGTGTGCTTTAACTGGTCATTTATTAATAGAAATGGTAGGAGCAGGATGTATACATCCAGCTCCTATTTATAACGAACACGCTGAAAGTAATTCTGGAGCCATACATGAAAGGTAAGGGAGTAGCATGATTACTGCTATTGCAGTACTGTTGCTAACCAAGCAAATGACAGAACACTGTTTTTAATAAAAAAAGAATACACTTCGATGAGACTATTTCAATAAGCAGCAAAAGAGCGAACCCTGCCATTCAGCTGGAACAGGGTGTACCACTATCTACCAGCAGTTACAAATGTGAATGAACGCTCAGTTTCTCACCAGGCCCACTGTCCTTCAGGGTCACCAGCGGTACAAAATGTTGACTGTCGTAGCCAAGAACAATGGGGTATCTGTAGCATTCCTGGGCAGGCCAATGGAGAGGCAAGTAAATTCCGCCCACCTTCAAAGGAGCGAAATTGGAACCTGATTCTAAACTTCTCAGCATTTTGTCTGTGGAAGGAACGAAAAAGAAAATAATAAGGCCCTCAGGCAACTTTCATCAAATTCCATTCAGCTACTGTTGCCTGTAACTTTGGTAGCGTGGGTTTTTCTTAAGAGCTAAAGCATAAAAGCCGAAAAGCACTTACATACAAATAAGCAATCTGCGGGCACCTCACCTGAAATGACGATGATTGGCCTTCTGAGGATGTTGCAAAGGACGAATATGTGTATTTCTTCCAGTGAATTATACTGAAGGCCACTTCGGGCCCCTGGGGTGTCTGTGGATGCCATTTTGACAAGGTTGTCCCATTCATCAGTCCAATTCTAAAGGGAGAGGGGGACAGAGGGGGGAAAATGCTTGAAAAATCATTCTGCATTAAAAAGTCATTCTGACACACTCTATGGTTATTCATTTATATAACTCAGCTTGCTTTTCCCCTTTCTGGAAATCATCATTCAAATGATCACCCTTTTTTCCCCATTTTAGTTTTCTTCCTTTACTTTTTTCCACTACAAGGCAAACTCAGAAGTGGGGGAGGATGGCGGGGACAGCACCCGCTCTCACAAAACTCCCCGATGAGGCATAGCACTGAAGCCCCTTCCAAATGCACACAAAAATCCCAAACCTGTGACTGAGCATGGTGAGGTCTGAATCTGACTGGCTGGCTCGGGAAAGCAAGCAAAGGACAATCAAACTGAAAACAACCAAAGCGCCCCAGGGAAGACCAGACGATCCAGTGAAAATCAAGGGGCACACAGCTGGGAATCTGCTACCCTGAAGCCTCCCAGCAGTGACAAAAGCTTCGGTTCATCCCGCAGGAGGTTTCTGGTGTTTTCCACTGACAATGCTTTGCTTAGCCAAGCTCATGTGACCGAGTAAATCATATGCTTCTGAGAGCAGGGGCCAGCCCAAGGTCCCTTTCCCTCACCCTGGAGCGCTGTCGATAGATGTTAATGGGGGAACAACACATACCCGGGTGTCATAGCAAAGCCCCGTTTCCACAAATTCCTGAGATTTAAGAGACTCCAGCTGCCAACGGAATTTAAAGTTGCGCGTGTCCGTCTCCTTGAGAGTGCTGAAGAGCGCCTTCCTCAGGGCCAAGTCTGTGTCCTGGACGCCCCACATGTACTGAGAAGCAGCATGCATGAGGCAATTTCCATCACCTGAGGACGCAAGGGAAGCAAATTCAAGCAATCCACATCCAAATCCAGCAAAGGGTCTCCGAATCAATGAGCCCTAGTGCCATCGTGGGAGACCCGAGAGGGCATGCAGAAAGGCAGGTGATTTAATCTCCTAGTCAAAGGGCCAGTTGATAACACTTCATAGGTGATGACAGGGAAAAAATCCTTATCTTTAATGACTGATAGCAAAGACCAAAGGAGTCAGGGACAGATAATCACTGGACCTTGGTTCCAGCCGGGCTCTGCCCTAACTAGTTTGTTTAGGTGACCTGAGGGGAAATTCCTTAACCTCTCTGAGTCTTTTTCCATTTTGTGAAGTGAGAGCATTGGATTATGATCTCTCAAGTCTGTCCCTTTTCTAATAGTCCTTGATGTTCGGCTTAAGACACTGGCACAATTGCCTTCTGACTCTAGGAGAGTACACACAGTGTGCACAAACCAGAAAGCCAACTTGTCTCCATTCACTAGACAGGGACGGTCTGGCTATGACTCAGTGGTAAATGACTGGACCGGTCACTGCAGCCTTTGGGCCTGGGAGTTTCCTCTCCCGGTCTGTACAGTGGGATCGAGAACACTGAATTAGCTATTGTCGCCGATCCCCAGAAATACCTGTGTGAAGGTGCTTGTTAGAAACTGCACAGTCCTTTTGAAAAATTAAAGAGTGCCTGAAAATAATTCAGTGTTGAGGGCTGGCATTTGAAGTATTTTGAGAGGATTGAGCAAAAAAAAAAAGATCTAATTTTATTCCATTCATTTGTTACTTTTACAGGTTAAAATCCACAATTTAAGAGACTGTACTTCCAAACAGTAAACATTTTGGGATAATATTTGGCACCAAAAAAAGCTAATTCCTTGATCTCTTTTGGCAAGTGCACAATTGTTTTTAAAAGGAAAAGTTCAACTCCTTTCTTTCTATAAGTAAGGCAATAAAACTCTTTGAAATTTTATTAAATTTTAATTGTAGACAAACTGTAAAACAACAACAACAAAAACCCTGAAATTCATATCCACAGCCAGTGTCCCTTCAATTTACACGCTTAGAAAAACGAGCTACATAAACACTCCGACAGATGAACGAACAAGAGCACCCGCGCCTTATGTCCTGGCAGAAGTGTAGTAACAACTGCACTCTGTTGAAATTTCCCCTTTGCAAAATCTAGAGCAAAGATAAGGCTTTTTTTCTCTTCTACTTGTGCTTACTTTCAGTTCTTTATTGAGATGCACCAGTATAAAATTCCCTAAGTAACATCTGGAATTCCCCAGTGCTAAGTTATTTGACTAGCAATTGAGCAACAGCTATTGTACTTTTTGTTCTGGTGTGTAGACATTTAAGCTGCGAAGTGCACCCTGGACTTTCCAAGTGGGTGTGGTCAGGGTGAGCTGGAATAGGGCTACTCATTATACAAGTGAAATCGCTGCAGCCAATAGACGCTGGAATTTTTCTCATGAAGTTTCAACTTTATGCCACCTACTCCCTTCCTCATTCACCACAGTCTCATATCCTCAAATGCAAACTTGTGAATCACCCCCTCCCAGACGATTGACTTTGTAGACCCACCTATAGGGGGAAGGCTTTAAAAAAAAAAAAAGGGTGCTAATAAAAATCAGAGAGGAAAAGTCTTTTGCTTCCCCTCTCCCCTAAATATCTTTTACAGGATTTTAAGACATGTTCTTGAAAGTGGGGGATATAAAGGATTCTGAGCCTAAAAATCCCTATTTCCAGAAAATGTTATCAAAACGTACTGGCTTTTGTAGTTTTCTTTGTAGGGTGAATCCTTGTTGATTCGAATGACGAATCTTTACAAAACAAGTGTTTACTCTTTGTATTCCGTTTTTTCTTAAGGGAATAGAGCAAGTTAAACCTAAAACTTCAGTTAATGCTATTCATGCTAATAATGTTTTCCTCTTTCTACACCATTTCTAATTTCGCAGAATCTCTGTTTCCAATTCTCCCACATTTGACTCCATCTCTTTTTTTGTAACAAAAAGGGGAGAGTTAAAACCACAACCTGTCAGGAATATAGACCCGTTGATGATGACTTAACATAATTACCTACTTCTATGCATCACTTGATTTAATGCCAAGAACAACAGAAACACTAGCTATCACCAGTTTTTTCTGTTTCTAAGAATCTATGCTTCAAAAATATAAGCAAGGTGTTGTGATGATGATGCATAAGACCTCCTAGAACCAAAGCAAAAAACACGTCCTCAGTCACAAGTTACCCAAGTCAAAAATGGCCAAAGTTAATGTACCAATTCAGTTACTTAAGTTGATGTTCTATCATGTCATTGTCCACCAGGATTTCCTGCACGAGGATGAATGCAATATTTGATTGGGATGGTTTAGGACTGTCACTGGTCTAAGGACCTGAGATTCCTGCTCTTACCTAAACCAGAAGCATTTAACTGATCTTGGACAGTCTACTTGCTTCTTGTAATAAGTAGCTACATCTACGAAGTGGAATTTTGTATCTGCAAACAGTATGCTTGAATATTTCTGGGATGTGCATACTCTCGCTCAAAGGAAATAATTAATAAGCCAAACGGTAAAGCTCAGAACAGGAAACAGGACTAATGGTAAAGGATCATTGGGTAGACAGGCACAGACTTCAAGAAATTTAGTACTATCCCTAAAAATAATAAAGTAGAGGTCTAAAATCAGTTTATAGCATGGGACCATAAGCAACAGAACCCAGGTTAAGGAAGGAGCAGATAACAGGAGTACCTCTTGTCCTCAGCAGCCAGATGATTAGTCACAAGAATTAGTACCTAACAAGGGCATGCATGGTTTAGAAATGCATTCCCTAAGCCTCAATGTCCTCTGTTCTCTAATATACACAACTAGAAAACAGCCGTGATAAAAATATTCACAAAACAAGCTTGCTTTCATCGCATGCCCCTACAGAGTTTCTATACTAAGGTGTCAATGGCCTCAAGAGATTTATGTTTGGGCTAGCGCTATTAAAATGCAACGAATGGGGACCCAGCACTGTGGAAGCCAACCCCAGACAAAAGCATGTCTTACCATTCGTTTTCAGAGCCACAAGTTTCCTGACTTCTCGACACCAGTTGAGCTTCTTCTGACTTTCCAGGGAGGCCTGGATGCTTCTGTCTATGAGAGCTTTGTGGATGATCTCCCGAAATTGTGGACAAAACTGGCAAGTTCTGAACATTTCCAGTGTGTATCGGTGCATGGATTTGAAATGATGAATGATTCCATTGGTAGGTTTAAAAATATCTTCTGGAGCTCTCTCTCTGATTTTCACAGCTTTCCGCATATTGCTCAAGTACAGTGCCTGAGGAAGGAGTTGTTCAGCCATCGTGTTGCTCCACAACACCTGAAGAGGAGGAAAAAACCCATTCCGTTAGCCCGACTTTGATACTACCCCTATATACCTGCCTGCAGGAAACCCCAGTGTCTGATCTTGTCGTTACCCTAATCTGTAGGCAAAAGATCTTAGTCACCACCACTCCCAGGATACTAGCTGGCCCCAAAGATTAACTCACACTGGACTGTTTTAAATTACATCACTTTTAAAGATTAGTCTAAACAAGAGAAGGAAGGTGGAGAGTGGGTACTGAGGAGGAGGGGAATAACCCTATACTGGAAAGACAGTAAATATTTTGTGAAAAATCCTGCAATTTTATGCTGTCCCCTAAGCATCTGACTGTAGTTTCCTGTGTAGCCCCAAAGAGAAATATTTACAAAGAGTTTATTTATAAATGTATTATATTAATAAAGAGCTAAAACTGAATGTTGTATAAGCAACAAAAAAGCCTATGTCCAGCAAGATGCTTTGTAATTTTAAGGGCAAACAATCAGCAGTCTTCCTAAACATGTTTAATGAACTTTAACTATCAGACTAAGAAATAAAATAATAACAATAATAGAATAATAAATTCTACACTTCCAAGGGTAGACACTGGAGCTCAATTACTTCCCTGCAACTGCCAACCACATTTTATTCTCATCCTCCAGGTTACCAACACTCAGATGTACTTCCCACCCTGTCTTCACCCTGAAATTGTCAAACATAATCAACAGGTGGAAGGAAATGAAAGTCTGGAAGCAGATGAGGAAGAAATCTCAGCCAGGGGGGAACACTCAGCACATATGAAAGAGGAGGGGGGCTAAACCCAGCATCCACAAGCCATGCCAACAGTGTGGCATGATGTGAACTGACGTAATGAGGAGAGTCAGCTCTCATTCACTAGCCCCTGCTAGGTGCCTCGCCACATGCCCTAATTTCCAAGATGAAAACAAAGATGGTTTCAGAGAAGGAAGATATTCCCTAGAAAGTTTCATAGGGATTGTTAATCCCACTCGTGCATCAGACTATTTGCCAGGGAAGGCAAGCCTCTAGTTGAGAAAGAAGTTAAGTCAATGTAAGAGGGAGAAGAAGCCTAGATCTTAGGTTTCTCCTGGGTGGGTCTAGGCTCTCGTAAAGCCATTGATAAGGTGGTCTAAATTCTGTGGCCCACTCAAAGAAGAGAGTTGGACTAGATGACCCCAAGGTTGCTTCTGAGGAATTTTCTGGTGGTAGTTTTGGATCAGAATTCCTAATCTGATGGCCAGATGAGGCTTGGGAGAAGTCATTCTCTGGGTTAGATAGTGATCTCTCCTCTGATGTCAACCATTCTCTGCAGGTAGAATTGGGCAAAATTATAGCAGGACCACAGACACAGTGAAGGGACACAAACATCACACACACTTCCCCCCACTGTGGCACAGCAAAATCTCTTTTACAGTGTCATTTATTCACCTGTCCATCACTCAACAAGCACTGTACACCTTTATGCTAGGCTTAAAAATCAAAGCCAACTTTATTCCCCTGGCCCTCTTGAAATCACATGGACACCTTAATCTGCAGCTAAGACAACAAGTACAGGTCCTGCTCAGGTCCCACAACATCCGGGGGCAGAGCTTTGCCAAGAAGCCAGGTCTTCCAACACCTGCCCGTTGCTATTCTCATATCACCATACCTGTGGTTGCAATGCCTGCTGCTCCAGATGGAAAAAGACAGGCAATAGAAAGATTTGAAACAAGCTAGGTGGAGCCTCTTTTTGCTTTTCTGACTCTTCTATTATTTTCTTCTGAACCTAAAGATCTTGCAAACAGTGAGAGCTGTAAACCATATGCAAATGTCAATATTCCCTAGCCCAGTGTCACCTCATTCATAGCTTTAGCCTTGCACAGCCTGCAGAATTGCCTCCTTAAATCAAAACCCACTGAGTTCCTAGTACATGGGCTTCTCCACACTTAAGATTAAAGAATAAATTTTTCTGACCTATGACAGTACTGCCCTTACAGGCAAAGACATACAATGTTACCCTTAACATTTCTTTTACCTCACTGGCTTTTTATCAACAAATACCTCATGGAATTTTTGGAAAGTACCCCTCTGAATATTTTTAAAAATGTACAAAGAATGGCAAGAATGAAAGAAGCACCTTAGATAATGGAAAAGGCTCAATAACCTGGGCCACGAGGGCTGTGGCCCAGAGGGCTCTTTAATGAACAATGGTTCTCCTAAAATGCCACCCTGAGACTCTTGACCAGACCCGCTTTCCAAGGAAAGATCAGAGGCACGGAGAACTGAAAACAAAGCGGTCTCAAAGAGAGCTGAGCTCCTTCCTTACTTAATACCACTGCTTTCCTGAGAGGCCAGGTGGCAGGATGTGGGACGACCCCGACTGAAGAAGATTGTCTGACTGTGGGGTGGGGGCTGCAGCAGGGGCCTGCAGATCGCTCTAAACTGGAGCCACCAAAAGGCAGGCCAACGACCCATTTCTACATGCACACTTCTCTTATAATGCTGCAACTGGAAATGATGGACCCCGACCCGCGACCCCCACCCCTCTACATAGAATCCTCTGGAGTGTCTGCAAGCCCCCCCGAAGGGTTAGCAGGCTGAGCCCCCCAGCCCCCGCCGGGTTTTGTCGCCCCTGAGACCTCACACCCCCGAGGCGCTGGTTCTGCACAATCTGGGAAGAAGCCACAGCGTTCTGCAAGGTCTACGTGGCCAAGAGCATGCAGCCCTTGGTTCCAAGAAAGGACACGAACAGGAGCAAAGCACCAGCGACCACCCGACCAAGCGGCCGGGGCGACTCTCCACCAGTCAGCTGCAGTTTAAATTCTCTGCATAATCAGAAAGGCACAGACTACGTGCCTGGCTGGAGGAATCCTGAGCTGTCACCCAGCATCTGGAGCAGGCACCTCAACTCAGCATTTCAAAGCCTACAAGGAGCACAAACCGCCAACAAACTGCCCTCCAGAACCGCTGCAAAACCCACGCCAGGTCCAGCCGGCCGGCCCGCCCGTCGCCACATGCGCACCCGCAGCACCGCGGCGGGAGGAAGCAGCCCGGGCCGACGGCGCGGAGACGCGGCAGTTACCTCTCCGGGCCGCGCGGTCCTCTCCCGAAGTCCCAAGTCCAGCTCAGGGCCGCGAACAGCGCGCGTAGTGCTCGAGGTCAGGCGGAGGCGGCACCCCATGGACGCCCGGGCTCCAGGTTCGCTCTGGCTGGGCCGGCCGGGGGTGTGGATCGCGCCCGCCGCCGTTCCTCCGCGGCCGCTCTTGCTGCTCCGCCCCCGCGGTCCTGAGCGCTCTGCACTTGGCCCGCCGCAGAGGCTGCAGACTGCCAGTTCTCTTTCCTCTCTTTCTGTTTTACCGCGGCCGCAGCGGGGATTTCCATCCAGGGACTTTCCAGTCACGTGACCCGCGAGCGCTCTGGGAGTCCGCGGGCGCGATCGCTGGTGGCCGGCAGAGGGCGCAGACGGCCGCTCGACGCCCCGCCCCGCGCCCGCCCGCCCTGCCGCAGCCGAGAAACTCCTGCGATCCGCCCCGGGGTGTCCCCGCGTGAGTCACCTGGGCATTTCGGAAGCTGAGGCCAACGTCACATCCATGTGGAAATCGCTGTGATGGGAACTGGAAATGAAATAGGTTCTTTTTCTCAGCCGTTTTTCTGCAGAAAATCATCAACTGTGGAGAACAAGAAGGGGAATAATAAAGACAGAAAACCCTAAAAATCACCCGGCGTTCAGGACCTCAGGCCTCTGGGCCTGTCTGAAACGCTTTGGCTGTGCACGTGATGAGCTCCTGGGGAGCTCCCGACTCTGGGGATTTCGAGAACAAGAAGCAGTCACCGCTGTCCTCCCCACTTCCCGGGACCCCAGGCTGATGGGAGGCAAGTCCGACTTGACGTCAGGCCCGTGGCCCTGAGACCTCGAAATTCACAGAAACAAGGCCAGTCTTGGATAAAATTAGGAATCTGAACAACTACCAACCCCATCCCGCGCTTGATGGATTTCCCCTTTTTCATTTCTGCACAACATTCAGGTAGAATTTCAGTTTAGAAATCACTCCGAGTCCATTACTGTCCTTGCTGTGTTCCCCAAAGACCCTGTTAAGAGTCTTTTTAGATAATCGCTCCAAGGTGCCAATGAATGATAATACTTTCTACCGCTCTCCCGCCCTTATTAAATAACATGGTAACCCATTGTCTTTATCCAGAGAATGTCCTGTGGAAATAGGTGTCAGCCCCCTGGGCAGTGGAGATGCCCCAGTTGTGGAGGGAAGGACATTAGGCCCATTTACTGCCTGTGGACCCCGTTGGCCCATTTCCTGGAATGGTTAAACCAGAACCAGAATGAAATATTCTGCACCATTGTCCCCTTAAAGGTTTAAGAATGCTTGTCAAGCCATGTAGCTCATTTCAAATTTGAAAAAGATGCTTCTTTCTCCAGTAAGGACCTGCAGAGCCAGAGAGGGGGTTGGGTAGGAGCAGCACTTACTTGGCAAAGGGAAACTTAGAGTAGTCTATAGTGGCCAAGGTCCTAAAGCTGCTGCTGGTTATTTGACACTGAAGGGTGGAATTTTTTTTTCCAAATCCAAACCTGCTGGTATTTGTTCTCTTCTTATTCACAAATGTTTTTAGCTGCCAATACTCAAACAATGGATAGTCAAACTAGTAATAGAATAATAGTCGTAATAATAGTAACAATGTTTATCAAATTCTTACCATCTGCCCATCTCTAGACTAGGTGTTTGAAATGCATTCTACCATTTAAATAACTCCACTTTGCAGATGAAGAAATTGAAGTTTGAGAAGCTTAAGTCATTTGCTCAATGTCTACACAATCGCTAAGTGGCAGAGCCATGGTTGGCACAGGGCCTATCTTACTCCGAAGTCCACACTGTTAAGTTTTAACTATTAAGCCATTACTCTTAGAAAAGATCCTACAAGACTGAATCTCAGGGCTCCCATTTGTATCCCCCAGTCTCTCAAACACATGGCAATCACCTGTCACTTAGCCAAACATGGACTCTGGGCCAGAAAGTGGGCTTGAGAGCCAGACAAGGCCATGGTTCCATCCTCAGGAAACTTTGCTGGGCTCATTGAGATGATAAAAGATGAGCCCTGGCTGGTTTGGCTTAGCGGTTAGAGCGTCGGCCTGCGGTCGGAAGAGGCCCGGGTTCGGTTCCCGCTAAGGGCACGTACTTCGGTTGCAGTTTGTCCCCGGCCCTGGTTGGTCATGCGGGTGGCAGCCACTCAATGTGTCCCTTCACGTCGATGTTTCTCTCTCTCTCTCTCCCTCCCACTCTATCTGTACAAAAATTGGAAAAGTGTCCTCGGGTGAGGATAAAAAAAAGATGAGGTCTTCCTCAGTCCTTAAATGTCTCTCCCTTGGTGCTCCTTTGAAACAGAATGTGCTTGCAGTCTTTCATCTTTTGGGCTCTGGCCCCTCACCTCCTCCTGTAGCTTCCATTGACCTTTTCTGATTGAAGTCTATTCCCTCCCTTGATGAACTAGGAATGTAATAGTGGGACCTTAAGGATGATGTGCGTATCATGGTCCTTCCAGTTGTCCCTAGGTAGGTCCTATGCCATCCTGTCTACCAGGATATGTGACAAGGTAATAGCAGTCAGAGGCGGGGGCAGCCTGTAGCCCTCAATTTTGCTTCAACCCCATTTTCCCATAATTCTACTATTCGAGTGATGGTCTCTCTGAGGGGGCACACTTAGTCCTGCCCTTCCCTAGTTTTTACTGTCCTTCCCACCCTCTAAATCAGGTACAGTTTTCCGTTTCTAGTACTTAACACATGGGTAAGACCAATGAGGATTTTCTTGGTGGTGATCAGAAGGAAAGAGTAGAAGAGGAGGAGGAGTGTAGAAGCAGAGACTCAAAGTAGATAGAAAATTTGAGAAGATATGTGGAATGAATTGAAGCCAAAGAGAGAAAGTGCCCCAAAGCATGGGACTTTAATTTCTGCAATAGATATTATTGGATGAACAGAATTCTGCAAAGAGGAAGGAATATCTAGCAGACACATAGGAGAAAAAACATGACTCATTAGAGGGAGGAGGAAACCTGGTTAAGTGGAGTGTTTTGGAGCATTTCTGAGTTTTGTGTTATTTTCACCATGGTGATAGTTTTCATATTTCATGAACTGCATCGCTAAGAGCGCACGTGACCTCTGGAATTGGGAAGTCTGTGGGTCTGTACCTGAGCCTGTGTGCTTATACCACATCATGAAGAAGATGGGCAGCCCAAGACAGTGGGGAAGGGCAGCAGGATTAACCCGATTAAAGAGAGGCAGATACGACAATTGGGACAGAGGATCCAAATCTGGCTTAGCTCACACAGCAGTTTATGAGCCTTATAATCAAGAAATAGCCACAGCCTGGCCGGTGTGGATCACTGGTGTCATGCACCAAGTGTCGACCCATACACCAAGAGGTCACCCCTTAGATTCCTGCCCAGACTGTGGGCCCAATCCCCAGTGAGGGGCATGCAGGAGGCGGCCAATCAATGTTCTCTCTCATTGATGTTTCTATCTGTCTCTCGCTTCCTGTCTCTCTAGAATCAATAAAAAAAAAATATTGAAAGAAAGAAAGAAAGAAAGAAAGAAAGAAAGAAAGAAAGAAAGAAAGAAAGAAAGAAAGAAAGAAAGCCACAGTGTAATTCTGAGTGTATGGAATTTCAGAGCATGGCAATCCTGGGTCAAGCTGAAATCGAACATTTTGTGTCCATCATACAATTCTTCTTTCTCCAGCATTGTGCTCTGTTGAAAAGGAAGATCCATGTTAAAGGTGTTTTAAAGCAGCCGCATGCAAGTATGACAGTTCAGTTGTGCAGGGGAGCTTCGAATCCTGCTGTAAATGCTATAACCCTTGGCAGAGCTTTGAAGTTACTAAGCGTAATGTTTGCACGTTCAAGGCTGCTCTAAAAGCTAGTTCTGAGAAGATGATAGAAACTGTGGGCTATAACTACAAGGAGAATTAGGATAATGTTGTCATAGGTTTCATCATCTTATGAATGCCACATTCTCCTAAAATGCTACTTCTTATCTAGGAAGCTCAGATCCTTTATTGGTATTATCTGGAATGAATGGAAAAACCAAGACTGACTTTGGTGAGGGGACTGAACTGAGGTAACCCAACCAGTCACTTGTAACAGGAACAAAGACCCTCCACTGGAAGAGAAGGAGTTGGTTTAATGCCAAGTACAGCTCCTATTATCCTACTTGCCTGAAAGCATTGGATACTGAAATCTGAAACTCGTCAGAAAATTCATTTTCCCAAGAATTCTGGTTTAATTTTCTGTCAACACTTGGCCGAAACACTTGGCAAAGAGATTTTATTTTACGTCATGAACATAAATATTCAATTAGTAGTTTCATTTCTCTTTCTGTGGAGGCTGCTTTTAATGATCAAACATGAACAGTGACAAAAGATCGAAAATGGGTGTTATTAGGAACCAACTGGTATACAGTGCTGGGTTTACCAGTAAGCAGGATGTTAACTGGAATAGTTAGTTCCTGTTAGATGGAATAGTGCAGCCCACTGTGAAAATCTGCCTTCAGTGCACCCCTTTTCTCTTCATTTGTCCCTCAGTTCCCTCAGTTCAGTTTGGGGGTGCCCATAATCCTGGCTGCTTACCTTTCCTGCCTCCACCCCACCCCACCCCCAATCTCCATAAAAAAGGATTTCTTCTTTCATTCTCTCAGAGACCTGTTTTCTGGGATTGGCTAACCTGAACTGGTAGTTTATGTTTCTTTTTGAAAATAGGTTACAGCCCTGGCTGGTTTGGCTCAGCGGTTAGAGCGTCAACTCGTGGACCAAAGAGTCCCGGGTTCGATTCCAGCCAAGGGCACATACCTTGTCTGTGGTTTGTCCCAGCCCTGGTTGGGGTCATGTGGGTGGCAGCAAGTCAATGTGTCTCTCACATCGATGTTTCTCTCTCTCTCCCTCCCATTCTGTCTGAAGATAAATGTAAAAATATCCTCGGGTGAGAATTTAAAAAGAAAGAAAGAAAAAGAAAATAGATTGCAATGTGCTTTGTGTTATATTACTTAAGGAACATTCCTAGTGAAACCAGAACTTCCTAGAGCTTAAAGGTAGAAATTCCAAGCACTGTAGTAGGCTGGATAAGAAGCCGATAGTTCCCTGATTCTGAGAATCCGTGTTTGTAGGACATACCATGGATTTAATAACAACATGGTGGTTAGGGAAAACAACAT